ATCATACTCTGCATGTGATTTTACATTTTATTCTTTTCCCTTGCCATTATAACAGCGCCATGTATTTATGAAGACATAGGCCCTTCTTGAGCTTGCATTAACAGCACAAATAATTGATGAGAATTAGCATCTCAGTAGGGAGCCCTGCCCTGTAAATCATTGAAACAGTTCACGTGATGCCCAGGCTTCCTGAGTCTTGACGTGAATGACAATACTCAGTGATTCTTCCAGGAAACTCCTATAAATGCCTTAGCCAATTACCTGTGTGCAGTGTGTGGCACCAGATTTTCTGCCCAAATGGCAGCTTCTGGGAATGCTGCTAATAGCTATGTCAGTTGCTTGTTTCTCCTGTTCCTCTTAAGTTGGATGAATCTGGTTCATTACCAGGGATGCATATTCAGTTGGAGGTATATCTTTCTCTTTAAGGAGAAGACTCTCTTTGACATTTTGCTTTTTTTTTTTTTAAGATTTATTTATGCATACAAGAACTGGGGTACAGGCCAAAGTTACGGGGGGTGGGGAGGGTGAGAGGATTCACCAGAGACAGAGTGGGGAACAGAACAGGCAGACTGAGTGAAATACACTGCTGAAGGGAGCAGCAGGAGAAGAGCAAGACTAGAGGTCTGCTGGGCCATGTGAGTTACTCCCTGACGGGTCTGGGATCATGCTACAGAGGCTGTGGATAGCTTCATAGCGCTGTGTTTAACCCCTTGCACCACTAGGGAGGCTCACATTTTGCATTTAATGTTATTCAGAGGCTTCTGGAATTCTGGGCAAGATATAATCCACCAGCACTATTAAAATAGAGAGCTGACTTTTTTTCTGCAGCAGTAGGAGAGCGCTGGCTTCCTCTTGGCAAACATCAAGACTCTCGGCTCCATAGCTTCTTGTTGCAGCAAGGTCTTGAGGAGTCCATGGACCACCTGGTTCCATTATGGTGTGATTTTGACAGTATTACTGCGGGCCCTTTCTGGACCTGCCTCTTTATCTAAGACCTGAAACAGCTCTGCTCCAGACTGGGGTTCTATTTGCTCCAGATTTGGTTGGGTTCAACCATAGACTAAGAAGATTATATGTCCATGCAAATGCATCATTTGCATAAAATTGGGGAGGTTTGTGATACAAGATCAAGTCTTGCTCATAATAACATCTTGTCCCTTTAGGTGCAATGATTTAAAAGGATGAACTTTAACATTTTTTTTTAAAGATTTATTTATTTATTTATACAAGCACTGGGTACAGTCAGAAGCGCGGGAGGGTGAGAGAATTCACCAGAGCCAGAGGGGAGAGCATGTAACAGGGTGGTCCCCAGGAAAGGGGGAGGTTCCCTGCCCCACCCAAGGGAGGGTGGAGCTGAGCAGGAAGAGGAGAAGCAGAAGAGACTGAGGAAGGAAGGAAGCAGGATGGAGCCAGGAGACCTGGAGGAGGCGCATGGAGCCTAGAGACACGTAAAGAAACTGCGCTTGTCTTTTGGTCGTGGACTGGGTGACACAAATGTGGGTGAGACCTGTGGGGAGTTGACAATGGCAGCTTTTATCTTGATGTTGATTTTGCTCTTTTCCTTCCGGGCTTGTCTGGTTGTTTGTGACCCTTTTCTGTGGGTCCCCACTGGAAGATGTTTTAGACTTGTGGTAGACTTTGGGGCCTTGTTCTGGGCCGATCCCATATGGATGGACTTTTACCCACGAGGGGATGGGTAACTTTGGGTGCTTCATTTAGAAACTAGATTCTTTGCCTTACCTGTATTGTTTCCTAGTTTTATTAAAGTTCCTTTTCATTAAAGTCTCATATGTTTTGTGTTGATGCGGCGGATGGCAGAACCCATTTAGAATAGGCAGGTTTGCGGGGTTTGGGCTGCCCCTCTCCCTGTCCTATAACAAGCAGAGCAGGCAGAATGACGAAATACACTGCTGAGGGGAGCAGCAGGCAGCAGGAGAGGTCTGCACGCCATGTGGGACCCTCACCTGGTGGCCAGGGATCGAACCAGCCCTGCAGAGGCTGAGGGCAGCTTCGTAACCCAGCGCTGAACCACTGCGCCACCGGGGAGGCCCGACTTCAACATTTTGACTCTAAGAATAAAACAATAATGGGAGACCAAAACATTTAAAGGTAATCTGTAGACTACAAACACATCAGAGGTTAAAAAAATAAAAGGCAAAATTGAAAAAAAAAGAAATGATATCTGTTTTCTCTTATGACCAATACCACATAGAGGCAGTGTGTTCTAAAACCTAATGCCCTGGCTTTGAAGCCAGACTGTGTTTAATCCTCACACTATCTCTTACTAGTTGTGACCATCTACTAGGTTGTTTTCCTCTTAGGTAAAAACTAAGCTAAAAACCCCACTCTGTAAAACAACTGCAAGACAGGTTATGTGTAAAATATTGATCACACTTCAGTTTGATAATAGAACTAGCTATTGCTATTGCTATTAAACTTAGACAAAGCTTCAAGAAATTTTAATTTGAGCATTTAAGTGTTGGTTATTGCAACGTAACATTCTGACATTAAGAAACTTAAAAAGAAAAACCAATCTCACCAAACCAAAAAATCAGACCATCTGTATTTTCTTCTCATGGTGGTGTATGTGTAGATATAATTTTCGCTCAGAGTGATTATCTTTTTTCCACTTAATATTGTAAATTTCCCGTTGCAACATGGTCTATGATGTAAGCTAATTATTACTTTGTCAAATATACCATAATCTAATTATCATTCTCAACTTTTGGACATTTGTTTCCAATGGGGTGGGGGTGGTAATCTTTCCTTTTGTTTCTGTCATGGTGACTTGGAAGATACAATATTTTAAATATCTAGCTCTTTTTCCTTAGGTGTGTGGATAGTTTTAGCTTGAATTGAGAACAGGGTTTAAGCTAGTGACTGTTCACATCACAGCGGTGGCGAATAAAGGTGGTTTCAATCGAGTATCTAGTGGACAGCAAATTGAGACAGCACCAAAAATTCACAAACTTTGGTTTCCTCATCTCAGCACTGGTAAACTGGCATGAGGCTGACGAATAATTGAGTAGACACTCAAGAAATGGATCTTTAAAGTGGCTAAACATCTTGACGTTCTTGATTTCACTCCATCTTCACAGGCGGCCCAGCGGGAGGCAGTAACTATTTGTATTATTTCAGGCACAGAGAGGGTGAGGTTCTTCCCTCATCACACAGCGAATGAGGAAAGACAAAGAACGTCTTTCCCGGCTGAACTGTGAATTCCCACTGAGTTATGGGGGGGAAAAAAAAAAAAAAAAGCCCCTGTAACCAATATAAGAGGGTGGAAGCAGAAAAGAGCTTGGGGTCGGCGGGACTCTGTGCCTTGGGCATCTCCAGGCCCGCCCAGGAGGCTCGTCCTCCCGGGCGCTCCAGCGCTCCTGGCCGACTTCGAGCATGCCCAGTGCACTCTCCGCCCGTCCAAATAGTGCTGGCAAGGCACGGAGGCTCCAGGTTTTGCCGGCAACCGGCGGGCGGGGCGGGGCGCGGGCGGGTCCCGTCCCAGGGACTCCCTGGCTCTGTCGGAATTCCCCGGACGCGACGCTCAGGCTGCGCCCCTTGAGGTGGAGCTGCCCAGCGACGTGCCTCTCGGGTACAAGTACCTAAGTGCGGTACCTGGCGCTGCTGAAGCCACCAAATAGCCCTGGGCCGACCGGACCACCCTGGATCTCGAGTACCTTCGGCCGGCCAGGATGGCTCCAGGCATCTCTCCATCCTTTCACTCACATTTTCATTCAACAATTAGATTTTGCGCACCTACTGTGTGCCAGGCGTTACTGTAGGAGCTGGGACACCTAAAGTCCAGGAGCTGAAATTCCGGACGTGAAAACACAATAAGACCAAAGCAAATCAGAGGCAACATCATTTATGGACCGCATCTGCTACTTAGCCCTCCTTGCAATTTCCTAAGCAGTTCTGTGCGTTAGGGTCTCTTCGCATGGGCTGTTCCCTCTCCCCTTCCCAATTTATCTCTGTAACTAAAATGTCATCTGCTCAGTGTCTTTGTCAAGAGCCCGGTTTGACCACATCATTGCAATTACACTCCCTCCACCTCCAAGTCTCCTCACCCTACCCTTTCCTCTCAGGGAACTTACCACCTTAAATGCTATAGTTAGTTCATTTGCTATGTTTATTTGTCTTTCCTGCATCTCTTCCCCCAAACTCCACTAGGGGACAGGATTTTTATCTATTCGTACTTGAAGAACCGGAGTAGGAGATCAATAATTATTGTTGAATCAATTAATGGTTAGTGATAACTGTGACGAAAATAAATGAGGACATGGACAGTCTCCAAAGCAGTGAACAAATTCAGTGACCAGGAAAGCCCTCTCCGAGGAGGAGGACACGTGCAATGAGAAGGTGCCACCCACGTGAAAATCTGGTCCCAAAAAATCTGGGAAACGTGTGCGCTAATGTCTTGTGGCTGGGTTAAGTTCTGAGTGTTCAAAGGACAGAAAGGTGCTCGTGGAGCTGCAGAAAGGCAGGTCCGAGCTGAGGTGGAAGAAGCAAGCAGAATCACAGGCCAGGTAGGGGCCCCATCAATCTCAGCAGGGGAAAAGTTTAACCCTGGAGACTTACCAGTGCAACCGGATGAACACTGCACCTGGAGTCAGCAGGACCCCAGCTCCACCCGACCGCTGTGCACAACTCCTCATTGCACAGATTTGTCGAGCGCAGACTGCCTGACGTTCCCACACGTGAAATCATTAACGGCGGGTACACAGTAGGTGCCCAATAAATGGTTATGGCACGAATGCCTGCGTGCATGCGCGAGGGGACTCCCGGTGGCCCGGAGCTTGGCAGGAGAGTCCCGGTGACCCCGGGAGGCGCGTCCCGGCGCGCCAGTCCCCCGGCGGAAGGGAAGGGGGTGCCCCGCAGGGAGGCCCAGGCGCCCGCCCCCCGCCGGCGCGAGGGCCCGTCGCGGCCAGCCCGGCCGGCGGGAGCCGCCCGCGGGCGGCACTGGGCATGCTCAGACGGCGGCCAGGTCGCGCCGCGAGCGAGCTTCCGCGCCGCCCGCACGCGCGACCTACCTGGGCGCCCCGCGCCCCCGGATGCTGCAGGTACGGGCTGGCGTGGTCCTAGCGGGCCCGGGACAGGGCGCGCGGCGGCCGGGGGCCCGGGTCTCGTTCGGAGGCGCCCCACCCCCACCCGTCCCTCGGAGCGCGGCGAACGCGCGGGCGGGCAGGCGGACGCGGCGGCCTCGGGGTCCCGGCGCCACGTCGGGGCGGGGAGGGGGCGCCCCGGCCGCGCACACCTGGCGGGGCCGGGCCGCGGGGAAGCCGGCGGGGCCGGGCGGGTCTGGGTCCCGGGCGCCGGGCTGGGTCCCGGGCGCCGGGCTGGGACGCGGCGGCGGAGCGTGGGCGTGTGCTCCGACCCGGGCAGGGCGGACGCGACCGGCGGAGCTTGCACCGTCGGCGACCCCGGGGGGCCCAGTGCCGCCGCGACCCCGGCCGGGGCCCGAGGGGGCTCACGACTCGCGGGGAGGAAACCTAGAGCGGCCAGACCTTCTCGGCTCCCAGGGCGAATCCGCCTCTCGGCTTTCAAAGATGGCATTTCCTGGGCCTGGCACTAACTCCAGCGCCAATAAATCCTCCCTGTTCCGTGGCCGATAGGGAATGATTTATCAGGTACCTGCGGTGAGACAGCTGCAGTGGGGAGTGTATGGGAGATCGCCCAGCCCCTCGGAAATCCCCATTTTCAGCACCCTAAACTTACTGGGAAGTTGTGGTTGCCTTAAAAATTCATGGGAAGTTGAGACAACTTGACACCTGGTTTTCTGAGGTGGTGGAAAGAGCTTGTGACTTGGAAACTGGAGCCCTAGGTTGAAGTGGGGCTCCCCCTTGGCCAGTTGGTGACCTTGGGCAAGTTGTTTAACCTGTCTGATCCTCAATTTCCTCCCCTGCTAACAGCCGGCAATAATGCCCACCTCACTGGGTTGTTGGGTGGATTAAGTGGGATAAATTATGTGGAGGTGTTTGGCACCATGCCCGGCACAAAGCAGGCGAGCAGTTGGCGTGATGTGAATTTAATTCGTTTAGAGACCCTCCTGGCTTCCATTTCATCAGGAAATTAGAATTACCAAAGCATCTTTAGGGCCTAGTGGCACAGTGATGGGCCCTGTCTTTGTGCCCAGGACTTCTGAAGTCAAGGACTTTGGAAAAACAGTTTAGCCAAATTGTAATAGGAGAGCATCTTCTTTAAAAGCAGTTTTATACATTCAGAAATTCCAGGAGTTGGCAGTTCAGCCTTTACTTACAAAAGAGCTGCTTTGCAAGATGATCCATCTTGCAAATGTTTCAGCAGATGATGCGAGGAAGTAAAGCCTGGTTGGGAAGGTTTCTGTTCTTAAAATCTCCCAAACCCAACTTCCAGTGATTATTTAGGTAAGGGTTTGGCATTGTTAAGATTTGTGGTTCCATAATTCTTCGTTGTGGGGCCTGTCCTATGCATTGTAGGCTGTTTAGCAGCATCCCTGGTTTCTAAACAGTAGATTCCAGTAGCAATCCCTTCCTTTTCCTCATTTGTTTAACCAAAAATGCCTCCAGACATATCCGAGTATCCCCAGAGTGGTGGTGGGGACAAAATATCCCTTCTGTCCTTTTAGAATCACCCTGCTTTCTGTCATTAGCTGATCAGAGTTGTTGGAGATTTTCCTTTCATGTTTTTACTGTAAGAACTAAGCTTGTAACAGCATGGAGTGCATCCACATGCATTGAATCATTTAAATTTTATAACTCCCCGGTGAAGACTGGTGGTGTTTCCGTTTTGCAGAAGAAGAAATTGAGGCTTTGAGCAGCAGATTACACAGTACTGTGGTATAGCTGGGATGTGACTCTAGTGTTCTGGTTCCATAGGCAGGTCTGTTTCTTTTGCATCAAGCTGTCTTTTATTGTATGGAAACTTTTAAATAGATGACTTTCCTGATGATTAAATCAAGATGTAAAGTAGATTGAGGCTGGAAACCTTCCTGAGATTGACTAGTTGAAAATTAACAACAGTGAGCTATTATCTGACAGAGAGTAGGTTGTTCTAGTTAAATATTCTAGTTTATAGTGAGCGCCCATAAATCCCACATACAGTTAATGGAATACCAATTTGCAGAGAATTAGAGTTGAATAAAATGTGCCTAACACTCTGTATTGATCCTAAGTTGTCTCTGGTGATTTGCTGTCTCCCAAACAGACTCCTATATGCAAATTAGACATTAGCCAAGGAACATAAAAGGTCATGTTACTGAAGGTTTTTGGCGTGGCTGAGCCATTCCTTTCAGGAAGCATTTATTGAGCTGCTTCTATAGTTCAGATACAGTGCTGGGTGGGGGTGCAGAATAAGCCAATGAAACCAGGGTGCCTGGTGGGACTTCCTAGCAAGAAGAGGACAGGTTCTGGCCAAGCCAGACCCATGGCAGGCAGGCTCTCAGGGACAGCTTGAGACTGGAGAAAGAACTCAGGGTAACACTATCTGAGCCCTCCTTCTGCATTTTATCATAGAAAAGTTATTCTGATAATTTTAAACATTGTCATTCACGTATCAGAGACCTGGCCTGAGATGGAGCTTATCCCAGAAAGAAGTTGGGGTTCCAAGCCAGTGAATGGATCAGGGGATTGATACCAACACCTTGATTGTTGACTGTGGACTAGGAGGTTTTATATACATTGTTTAATTTCTATGTTATACCAAGCCCCCCCTGCAGATGAGGAAACTTAATGAGGGATGGCAGTGTGGGGGCAGGAGCAAGGGGCATGAATTGTGATCTCCTGAACTTCGGCTTCAGACACGCCAGGGATATTTTTTGAGGATGGGCATGCCCCACCAGAGGGGCTCAGCTTTAGCGATTGGAAGGAACTGAAAGATAATGGCACCCTACCTAACTCCCACCCTCAGAGTTTATGACAGTTTAGGAGGGGACCTCCCTTTCTACCTCAGAGGTGGCTATTGACCATAATCTCAGAGCTCATCTTCCTTCCACCAGACAGTTCCTGGAAAACCAGTCCCTCTTCATGTCTCCCCAGGGTCTGTTACAGGGCCTGGAATGCCAGAGGCACTCTGCATTTGCCCTGGCGTTGACAGGCTGGTGGGTGCAGGGCAACCTGCTGGTGTTGCTTCCCAAGCCCGGGCTCTTCTTACCAACTCTGATAGAGATGGAAGGGGACCAGCCACACTGCCCTTGTCTGGATCCTGGCGACTGTAGGCTCTGATCTCACAGGTGTCTCCTTTCGTCCGTCCGCTGAGGGGGAGCTCAGGGGAGTGACTGGTAGGCCCCTGGCTGAAATCTGATCTGGTCATGGGTTCCAAGGCTCAGATCTTGAGTCTTCATAGCTCCTGCTTGTGTATGCACCTGAAGCTGCCATCTGCCTTCAAGTTAAGATGAGCTGTGAGCACAGATTTAACTGCAAATTCAGACATTTATCGAGCTTATAGTATGCGTCAGGGCCAAGCACTACAGAATAAAAACACAACCCCTGCCTTCGAAGGATTCATGATGGATTGAATCCTTCCCATACTGTGGCAAGACAGTATGCATCTCCACCTGCCTGCCTGCCTATCTAGCTATTTGTCTATCAATCAATCAGTCAATCAATCAATCATCTATCTATCTATTGCTTTAAAAGAGGATAAAAGCCAGATGCCAGAGAGGTCAGTGGAGAAAGCCATTCATTCTGATGGGCTTCAGGAGACACCATAGCGAGTACCTGGCATTTGAATGCAGCCTTAAAGGTAGAAAAAGATGACATTCAGGAGGCAGAAGGAACAGCAGAAGCAAAAGCTCAGAGGTATGAAGAGATCTTGTGTTTTAGGAGTGGGGCTCTTCCCTGGTTCAGCCTCCAAAGCAGGACCCACCTCCATCTCTAGAGAGGGGCCCAGCCTCCAGCCCTGGGCTAAATGCCCATTCTTGTTTTTCCCGGGATAAGAGCGATACCTCTGGTTGTCTATGGCATGAGCACCTTCTGCCAGGGATGCCTCTGATTTTTACTTATTCAACACTGATATGGCACTGACTGGCTGCCAAGCATTGGTCTGAGTGCTTTCCAGATATTAACTGATTCATTTAATCCTTCATGCAGCCCTCTGGCCATGCCATGCTGCCTTCCTGGGTGCCAGCTGCTTAGTAGGTAGGTAAGGGCAGAGCCCATCTACTCCCTGTGTGTCTGTGTGGGTGATGCTCTGATCATGGGTGGCTTCTCCTAGCTGCAGTTTACCTGGATGTGTTGAAAAGTAGCCTGAGTCTGGGAGTTGTGCTGGAGGACTGTCTGCTTTGGGGTTTTCACCCGTGCCCCATTTCCTTCAAGGGTCAACAGGGCTCTGTCACCTGTATTTTCTGAAGCAAAGATGGAGCTCTGTAGTCTGAAAAAGAATGTTTGTGCTGCTGCTTTGTGTAAGAGGAGGCCTGGGAGGTGTTGTTTGGATACTGAGAGAGTGGAATTTTTGAGACATTTCGATGGTTTATGTGGAAAGTTAGGACAGAGGATTTGAAGTTGGGATAGTCCTGGAAAATTCAGATCCCATGATTTACTGTCAGGATACACAAACTTTTAGTAAATATTTAAGCAGTGTGTAGTTTGGAGTGAGTTTTCTGTAGTGGGTTTTTGTTGGGGCCCAAAAAGGGACTAAATGGCGCCTTCTAGCCCCAGAATCTTGTTTAATCCCACCAGCCCCATTTTATAGATGGGCTGAGAGAGCCAAGGCTCAGAGAGATGAAGTGACTGCCTGAAGAAAATGCTCGTAACAGAGACAGCCAAGGTTTGAACCCAAGTCTGTCCTTAGACAAATCATTTAACTGCAAAAATGAAGGTAATAATCAAAGCTAGTTTCTTTAATTTGACTGTTTTCAGGGAGTTCACTGACGGCTGACTGAGGTTGAACTTGGCACAGGAAAGGGTTCTCTCCTTTAGTAATTGGGCTCTATACAAGTGCTCATCCTCATCCCAGCAACACAAACGTGGTCCTGACCGCTGCTTAACAGTCAGCACTGAACATCGCTGTGGGAGGGGTGACCCACTCCCCACTCCCAGGACAGGGCCACAGGCTTCTGGCTCTCAAAGGGTAAAGGGGAAGTTCC